CAAACATCCTTCTGGTTATCTCCTGTGACAGCACTGCACCTCAGATTGAACATAGACTGATTACACTCCTCTACACACACACACTCAAGACAGGGGTGCAAACTGAATACAAGAAGTGGGTTCTTAAACATTTGCCCACCTACAAAACTCAGAAAAATAACTATTAGCTAATAATGAGTAGGTTCTCCATTCTTGCATTGCCTAACTTTGATTTTACACATCTCAAATGATTACTACCTTTTCTACTTACGTAAGTATTTTCACGGGTATAGCAAGGTGTTTTTCCTTTTTTTAAATGTCTTTTTAATTGAAATGTATATAAAGTGGACAAATTTCACAAATAGCGCTGTATAGATTTAGGAGATGACTGACACTTCACACTCGACGCTCACTCCTGTCCACATTTCCCACCCCCCACCCGCCTTTCTTCTTTCTTTTTTTCTTCCTAGTCTTTGCAATTGTATACTCCCATTTCATACCACAATCACAGGTTTACCCTTCACGATGCAAAGATATCGACACAGAGAAAGTAGAAAACAACCATAATGAAAAAGAACAGAAAGCCTTCCTATTTGATTACTGTGTGCAGGCTTTGTTTATTCTCTAGGAAAGTGACTTTTCCTCAAAGAAAATATTGATTCTTCAACACAGAAGGACTGTGAGTCGAAAGTCCTCTGTAGAATGTATGTGACCCTGTTCTTGGGCAAGCACCAGTCCAGCCTTCGTGACTTTGGGTCTATGCACAGAACAGCGTGCCGGTTGGAGGAACTGAATCCTGTGTGCTTTGATCTGATGAGAAAGATCTACTGATCATTTTTACCACACTAAGTTGAAGGCAGAGGTGATACCCATGAGTTCCTTCATGCTGCATTTACATTGATTAGAACTAAAAAACAAAAATCAATGAATTGTGTTAATGTGAAAGAAGAGAAATCCTTATTCACAACCATTTTATGACGGATCTGTTTAAGAATTGGTGTCAAGTGTCTACTACAACCGTCTTCACTGTATTAACTTCATGCCCCGTTCTAAGACAACTGAAATTCAGTCTGATTTGTACAGCATTTTCTACATTATTCGGTGTGCTCTCTCTTCTCTTCAGAATTCTACAGCTTAGTTTCCTTCTGGGATATTGCTCAACTTCTGACAGGTTAAAGTATTTAGGTACATGACGTTTTTCCTAGACTATGAGCTACTTATAGGTAGGATCCAAGTTTTACTATTGTGTCTCCCAAGCAGCTAGGGCAGTGCCTAAATACAGCAGTCAACAGAAATATGTAGAATCAGCGGGGAAAGTAAGTTTTTTCTAGTGTGTTTAGACTACTTCCAACCTGTGTAGCCAAGAAAACCAGGCTGCTGGGCGGCTGACATCTCCACAGATGTGAGCTGTCTGAATAAACATGGGCTGCCCTAACACTCTTGTTCCACATGTGCAGCCAGACTTCTGCATTCGCTCTTTTTCCTAGAAGCCTCTCAACAGCCATACACATTAGTTCTTTCCCTCCTCTTATCTTTAAACGTCACTTTCAAGGTAAGGTCTTCCCTAAATACCCTAATAAGCTATCCCAGCAAATTTCTATCACTTTATCTTATTTATTTTTCTGTGTATTACTGATTGCCATCTATTAGGGTAAGTACTTGACAAACAGCTAAGGAAAGTAATTTTTAAGTGAATCATAAGGCATTTATAAAATATCTTCTTCTATTGGGCCTTATTTTTAATTCTGTACGACTGCCAGAAGCCAAGAAATACTTCTCCCATCAGTCCAGTGTGTCTGCACAGAGATGCCCCAAGGCAAGCAATGTTGATGAGAGAGCAGAGCAGGTGCCTCCATGATGCTATTAGTAAAGGTCATGGAAAAGTTCAGGTTTCTGTAGCTTCTTCCTTAACAACTTTTAATCAATTTATTCAGTGAGATAAATGTTTATCAAGCATCATGAAAGTACCAAGCACAATAATTGCTGACAGAAACCCAGAAGAGCACTTGCCATCATTTGGCTAAAAATACAGAAGGAGGAAATTTGGCATGGTAGCCTAGCAGCCAAAGTCCTTGCGTTGCACACACCGGGATCCCACATGGGGAGTGGATCTAATCCCAGCAGCCCTGCTTCCCATCCAGCTCCCTGCTTGTGGTTTAGGGAAGAGATCTAGGACAGCCCGAAGCCTTGGGACCCTGCACTTATGTGGGAGATGTCAAAAAGACTTCTGGCTCCTGGCTTTGGATTGGCTCAGCTCCAACTGTTGTGGCCGCTTGTGGAGTGAGTCAGTGGACAGAATATCTTCCTCTCTGTCTCTCCTCCTCTCTGTATATCTGACTTTCTAATAATAATAATAATAAAACTTTAAAAATTACAGAAGGAAGGAGGTAGATAAATAAGTGGGTGATTGAAATGCATGGGCTGCTGTGGTTATCTCTACATAAATGCCAAGAAAAGAGAGTGAAAACACTCTCTTTTATATAATGGAACAACCTCTAGATAGGCAAGCCAGACGTTGAGTTATGTTGAGGTTTAAGAGGTAAGAGTTGAGGAATGGAGGTGGGTAGAAGGTATGGAGAAGGCACTGAGCTCTCCGGTAGAGGTAAGAGGGCAAGAAGGGGCAGAAAAGTCAGTGTTAGTGTCATCCATATAAGAAATGCCAAGATATAGGAAGAGGAGAGACCATATTAGCCCACACAGACCCTCAAACCCAAATTAATGAGTCAGCTGCATTCTAGGCAACAATGGGGAACTTCCAGAGATTTTAAGAGGATTAGTAAAAGTAAATAGTTAATTATCTTCTTGAAACATTTTATATTTGCATCTTATAAAAATTTTGGTATATTGACTTCATAAGTATATGATCTGCTATCTAAAGAAACTTTCCATATCATTGATTCCATAAAATAGCTCTTTCTAGTTTATAATCCTTCCAGGGCAGGGATGCTGAATACCCAGCCTGCTGGCTGTATAAGGACCACAAAATCAGTTGGTCTGCCAAGGCAACCATTGGTGAATAATCTTTATTTGATAATTTTATACTACCTGTGAATGATGTTATAAATATCCAAATAGTCCTTGGCAAAAAAAAAAAGTTCCCCACCCTTGCAGAGACTTGTAATTTAAGGCAAATTCACCAAATCTGACTTATAACCAACGAATAAAATTAAATAAACTAATAGATTGAGCAACAAAGCACTCATTATTGCATTCACTGAATAACCAAATATTCACATCCTCTTACAGCTTTCTCAGTAATGGCGATTGCAACAAAAGCTGAAAACAATATCCTTATTATCAGTCAGGCCCTAGCCTCAACATTGAAATATATCATCATACTTAATCATCACAACAGGACATGAAATAGATATTGTTATCTTAGTTTTCCACCCCTAGAAACTGTATCTTAGAGAAGTATTCAATTTACTCACAGCTAGTGAGTGGCAAAGTAAAATTTTAAACAAGATCTGACTACAAAACTTATAACTTCAGCATGTGCTCAACACAATTATACAGTCGTACACATTTCCAATTTCACCGGAAGAAAAGTTCTGAGAGCAACGTAGCAATGTGCAATGTTTTTCTTTGTTTCCTCCAATACTTGTTACATGAACTCAAGAACTGCTCAGTGAGTGAATGACAGGCAGCACTAAAAAGCATTGATAACATGGGATGAAGGAAATCAGACAGGGAAGAAAGCCACTTCAGAGACATCACTGTGTGAAGAGGCATGGTGTCAGCTTCCAAGACAGCCCATAGCAATCCTGACCTGGTATTCACATCCCTGTATACTCCCCAACCGTCCTGAACCAGACCTGCCCTAATGTGACCAAAAATAAAAACAAACAAAAAACCCCCAAACCTTCCAGGGCTAGATCAGAAAAGGTACTACAGTGGATCCAGTGGCGAAATCACCTGCCACGCTACAGAGACAATCAGCTCAGAGCAGAGCAACCAATGACCATCACCGATTTGCCAGCTTGGCAAGTGAAACATCTTTGAAAACACCCCCTCTCATCTTGGACGATCTTGCACACAGATTTCATTTCAACTTCATTAGAGTTCCTGAACCATAAAACACAGAGGCAACTCGCTCCTGAAGCGCTGGTCCACAGAAATCATTAAAGATAACGATTATCATTATTTCAACCCACTAATTTTTAGAGAGACTTGTTAGCCAACAACAGGTAAATAATACCAAGTGGCACTGGGAATGCCTTTCACAAAAGAAGTAGGCTTGAAATTCTGTATCCATGGAATTACAGAAATATTAAAAATAAATAAGTGAAAAGAATTTGGGGGAAATATTAGGAGTATTCAGTCATAACAGAGACTGTCTGCATCTGAACCAAGGTCACTCCTGAAAGCAGTCTGGGTAAGAAAGGGAAGGCTAAACAGGAGAGAGAGAAAATAAAGAAGTAGGAAATGTAATAATAATAATTAAAAAAAGAAGCAAAGCAAAGAGGGAAGTAAAGAAGGATGAAAGAGGAGAACAAGGATAAGGGGGAAGAGAGGATCAAAAGAGTGGATGAAGACAATAGAAGGAGGAAGGGGCAGGGAATGGGGACTGGAAGAAGATACTGATTTGCTGAGATGCAATGTGGTAGATGTTGTTCTAAGCTCTTTCAACACACTCATTTTACCCTTCGAACAATTTTTATTTTCTCAAATTATTTTAGTTTTATTTCTTTATCTCCTTCCTGGGAGGCTCTGTCTAGCCATTCTTCTGATCCGAGATTGAGAAAGTTGCCACAGCACTGTAAAGAAAGCATGATAGACTGAAAACAGAGAGAACAGCTTTTGAAACTTACATGGAGTATAAAAATACCTGGCCATTATTCCTTTATGGAAACAAAATACGATTGAATTAGATAGGCAGATATGTTTTGGGCAATTTGGAAGATGGACTATATGACAAGTAAAGGTCTACAGGATAAAGGTCAGAATGTCTTTTAACATGTTTAAGGCCAGCAAGATTAGACTTTGGATAAATTCCTGGTGTTTCCCCGACCCGAGCATACCATCATTGAAGTTGTCACTGTTGGTCACATGGGTGAACGGTGACTGGGCCCGAGGCTCCTCACTCAGGGAGTAGCTGTGTTCGGCCTGGATGAGAGGCGCCGGGGATGTCGGTGACGGTTCCACCTCCATCGACACGCTCTTCTCTGAGAGGAAAGGGTCATTTAGGAGCTGGCCCAAGACGTTCTGGGAAAATTCATCCAGAAGTTCTGAGAAGTGCTACAAAGAAACAAAGGAGGGAGAGTTCAGTTTCTCCTGTCCATGATCTGATATTTAAACCCACACATACTGGAAGATCATGACATCATCCACTGATACGTATGAAGACACTTAATTATCTACAATGTTCAGCTATCTAGCACTGTCTAGCCAACCACCCCAGAGTTTGGTAGTTTTGAAACTGATACCACACGTGGGTTTTTTTTTTGTTTTTTTTTTGGTTAGTGTCTTATTCTTTGATGAATGGATTCATAGATACTGCAAGTAAGGGTAAAAAGCAACGTTTAAAATAGATAGCTTATAACATGTAATGACTGTTGGTTTATTCTAGAACATTTTGCTCTTAGAGAGTTTAGCTTTTTTTAAAAAAGATTTATTTATTTTTATTGGAAAGGCAGATATACAGAGAGGAGAGACAGAGAGGAAGATCTTCCATCTGATGGTTCACTCCCCAAGTAGCCACAACAGCTGGAGCTGAGCCAGTCTGAAGCCAGGAGTCAAGAGCACTTCTGGGTCTCCCACACGGCTGCAGGGTCCCAAGGCTTTGGGCTGTCCTCAACTGCTTTCCCAGGCCAGAAGCAGGGAGCTGATGGGAAGTGGAGCTGCCGGGATTAGAACCCACGCCCATATGGGATCCTGGTACGTGCAAGGCGAGGACTTTAACCACTGTGCTATCGTGCTGGGTCCCTCTTAGCTTTTTAAAACAAAATAAGACAGTATTGTTAAAGCAGCTATCCACATGCCCCTTCCTCTTTCTCAAAGTTAACCCCTAACCGCAAACTTGTATTTATCTTTCATCTCCAAGTCTTCATTCTCTTACTACACCCTTTTGTTTCAACACATACATTGGTACTAAACATATACATGTCTTAAATTCTAAATCATAATACATCTTTCTGAAGTGTCTTTTTTCCAGAAGTACTTTTTTGATTTGCCCATCTTTGTATGCGTAGCTTTCTTTCATCCATTGAAACTTCTGGGTATGTGCCACTATATTTCACCATTTTGCCTTAACAACAAAGATCTTTTTAAATGCAATATAATAATATAAATAAATCATAATAATATATCTTTGCCCATGAATGTATACAAAGGACAGATTGGCGTCACTTCCTGCTGCCCATCTTTAGAGATTCTGACTTAGTAAATCAAAGGTTTCTATATTCAAATTAAAGCTATCGCCACCACTGAGAAAGTTATACTAACATCCATTTTTCAACCATTGAAAGTTCACAAAACTTCTAGAAATTCAGAACCACCCAAAATTTGAGCTAGGCATTAGGGATGACAAATGAGTCAGAAAAAGTTCAGGTCTTCTCTGAGCTTGCAGTAAGCCAGTGCTCCTCAAACTTCCATGTCTGTATGAATTATCTGCAGATCTTAAGACATGGATTCTGATTCCACGTCTAAGTGGGGCTCACTATCCTTCATTTATTTCTAAGATATTTATTTGAAAGGCAGAGCTGAGAAAGAATCTCCCACTCATTGGTTCACTCCACAGTTGGCTGAAACAGCCAAGCCTGAACCAGCAGGAGCCAGGAGCTTCATTTGGGTTTCCCTACAGGTGCAGCATCCCAGATACCTGGGCCATCAGCTGCTTCTTTCCGACGAGCATTACCAGGAAGATGGATTGGAAGCAAAGCAGATAGGACATGAAACAGCACCCATATGAGATACCAGTGTCACAGGCAGTAGCTTAGTCCACTAGCCATTATGCCTGCACCAAGATTCTGAATTTCTCAATAGTTCTCAATCAACATTGCTTGTCTATGGCTCAGACTCTGAGAAGGAAGGAGCAGAACAGCAGCAAGACTGATTGGAACCAGACTTCCTGGTTATACAACCACCTCTGGTTTCCTGAGTAGCTCCCTGGAGGCACAAATACTGGTTTCCTGATGGCTAATATTCTGCAAATATTCATTTGGATTCACATCAAGACCAACATTCTGATAACAGAAAGAAATAAGTAACATAATGTAAAATACAAAAGCAAGAGTTGAACTCATAGTCCTTGCATGTTCAAGCCATAGTTCTCTGTCCCCACAATGTCAAGGTCAACTCTGGCTGGTGAAGCAGTGTGGTCCTGTTGCACCTGCAGACTTCTATTCCACCCTGAGGCAAGGCAAAGCCTGCCCAGGTTAGCCGTTCTGCTGATACGCTGCGTTCTTTCTCCTGAGCTGCACTAATGAATATGTTCATGAACAGCCCCTGGACAACCAATAATAAACTTTCTCTAACTCTGCTAACCTTCCCTGAGCTCCCCCTATTTTGGATGATGTGGTAATTATCATGGTACCAAATAATTTGGCTCTAATGACAGGTAGGCCTACTGCTTTATCATAAACTATCTCTTCTCCCTTCTCCAGTTTTAAAAAGAAAAGTGTCTTCAGAAGTGAGGATCAGCTGTATCTAACCATCCACACACACCTAGGAACTTGGAAAAGTGGAAACACTGAACAGGTTCAAGAGACATACTAGTAATTGAAAAGATTCACACCATCAGTGGACCAGATGCTGTGACTGAGCCCAGAAGTTTAGTTCCACCTGGATTTCCTTGACTACTTAGCAGACTGAACAAACATCCCATTGCTGATACAGACTGAACCAAAATTAGCTCATCAGTAAGGGCCAGAGTCAGTTAAAAACAGTCATTGTAATCCTGGAGGCCAACCACCAGAGAAAGGAGGAAACAAGCCCCAAAAACAGAGACTTTCAGATCTTGCAAACACTTTAGGAAATTACTCAAGCATCGCTGGTTTAATTCTTTCTGAGGCAGTGGTATAATCCATTTTAATCTTCTGCTTAATATATATTTTTATAGATTCATCCATGTTTATTTCAGAGGCAGATTTACAGAGAGATGGGGGAGACAGAGAGGAAAGAGAGAGAGTTCGTTTCCATCTACTGATTCACTCCTCATATAGCTGCAACAATCAGAGCTAAGCTGATCTGAAGCCAGCAGCCAGGCACTTCCTCCAAGTTCACATGGGAGTGCAGGAAGGATCTGAGCCATCCTCTACTGCTCTCTCAGGCCATAGGAGGGGAGCCGGATTAAAAAGGGAGCAGCCAAGACTCAAACTAGCACCTATACAAGGATACCAATGCTGCAAGTGGAGGACTAGCTTATTAAACCACCATGCCAGCCCCTTGCCCATTTTATTACATAAAATATATAAATTATATAGATTATATGTATATTACATAATTACAAAATTACAAAAATTATTCTAATCAAATTTTATGGGTCTAAAAGTACTTTTTTTTCCACAGGTCTTTCCTCATTCAATGCTCACAATGATCCCATAAGATTGAATTTAAATCCATTACACAAGCTCTCCATCCCATACTGAAAAATCTTGAATTCAAGATCCTCTTATGTCAAATGGACTGCATTTTTTCAACAGTGTTTCTCCTAGGAAAGAGATCATGATTCAGCTCGATGGGACAAGTTCTGAGAAATACCAAAACGTGATGTTGAGTATCTCCCAGGATGATGTTGGCTGGAATAGGTGCTGAACTCAACTGATGGACCAAGCATTTGTACATTACATTTTTAGAAAAAAGAGCTGGGTGATTGCCTAAAAGGAAGACATGACCCCATATTTGGATGCAAACACTGGGATTCATTAGGTACTTTTCCCAGGCTTGTATTGTTGGTAAAAGGTGGATCTGAGACCTCACACCAAGTCCAGCTGACCCCAAATCCCACGGACGACATAACTCAACATGTTGTGTCTCTGGAGTCAACTTCCAAGTTGGATCAACACAGGCCTCACAATCCCTTCTCCAGAAACACAGTCTTTTGTATTAAAAGTGCAGAAGCTTACTGGGATTTGTTAGATGGAGAAGCCCCTGGCATCACTTTCGGTGGTAATAACGGTGGAGATTTTACTGAGTTTTAATGCATGTTTCTGTTCCAGGGCTTCAAGTCACATCACAGAGTCTGTGTTCAAAGCAATCCCTTTACAGGGCTAACTCTCTGATGTGTAATATGAATACTCTTCGCCTAACTCAGTGAAAACACTTCCTTTAAGAACCTGTGTGAAGGTCTTATCTCCCCATTAAGCAAAGACTCTGTATTTAATATCCTGTCTCCTCTTAATCTTACATAGTCATTTTATTCCAATTTCATTTGAGCAGCAACACAGCTTTGGAACCAGGCAACCCTTTACAAGCCTTAACTTTGCAAGATACTTAACTTTCTTCAAATGAGATTAAATTAAATGATGCATGCAATGCAACTCATGCCTAACTGGTACAGCAGTCATTTTAAAAATGCTTTTACAAGCTAAAATAATTTTAAAAATAAGATGTTTTCCTTTTCTACCTGCACACTGGCTTTCCAGACTGTGATTCCTAGAATGTTCTTTCATTTTCCACTTTAATCATCTGGAAAATAAGACAAAACAAATCTACTTCTTTTATAAAGTCATGCTGAACAGTCAGCTTAAACTGATCTTTGACCTCCCTACACAGCTGCAGAGTTGCAAGTAAGCAGGAGAGGACCTCAACACGTTTGTTTAAAAAATAAAAAGGTATTTCAAGAGAAGCTTAGGAGTGGGTGGAGCATGTGTTCGGCCTATCAGTGAAGACAAGAGTTAGGCTTCCCTAACTCCATATCAGACTGCTCGACAGTAACAGTCAGCTCTGTTCTTAGTTCAGCTTCCTGCTAATGTGCACTCCGGAAGGTAGCAGAGACAGTTCAAGTAGTTGGGCCCCTGCTACCCACCTGGGATTGCAGGCATTTGGGAAGTGCATCAGTGGATGAGAGTGCTCATGTACCCTTTCTCCATCACTCCCTGCCTGTCAAATAATTTTTTAAAAAGTTCATGTTGATTAAAATTTTTATAAATACATAGTTTCTTCACAGTATATTTCCATGAACTTTTTGGAGACTTCTCATATATCTTAAGATAATTTTTACTATCTTTGATGTTCGTTTCATTGGCAACTTAACTAATTTATCAGTTGGTCTTATAATCTAGGACCCAGATGAAAAC